CGTGGTACTGAGTTGCTGGCTGGGGCTAAACCACGACAAGAGGAGAACAATTACCCCAGATATGTCCCCTGTTGCTCTAGGCTTGAGGTGCTACAACTGTCCCTTTTCCATTGGAGGCGCCAGAGGTACAGAGCAAATGTAATCTTAAAATATTATTTTCCTCCAAGTATTCTCTTGTACTATCCAGAACAATTAATCATTGTTCATATAAACAAAGAAAAAAAACAGCAAGGTAATGCATCTTGGGTTGTTCTTTTCCTTTCCTTGTGAAAACTGAAATTTTACAGCTAGAGATCATTTTTAATGACACGTCTTTCAGACTGTCTACAAAGGGGCAAGTTTGTAACAGCAGATATACCCCATTCCTGTCTCATCACCAATGGCGAAGTTTCAGAAATGACTATTCACCCTCCCCAAGCACCTGTTGTGCCTTTAGGTGTAGCATGACAATGGGTTCATAACCAGAGAACTGGGTGATGGCATGTATAGCCTGCTGAAATTAGCTTTCAAGTAGCAACAGCTGGAAAGTGCTTGCAATTATGAGTAATGGTTGCAGCTGGCGCTGTGAGAAGCTCCTGCCAGCCTCAAAAAATTGCTTAAATACAACTACAGGGAATAGTCATAAAGTAATTGTAAATAATAGTGAGACTGTGGAGATCTTGTATCTCATAATAATTCAAATTAGGTATATTTGTGAGGATCTGAAGTCCCCTATGCATATGCGGCACTTCATCTATAAAAATATAGACAGACTGATGGTATAATCATCTTTCTGAGTGTGCGGTATAGCCAGCATGCAGCATTCTCTGTCCATAAACCAAGCTTTCATCCTGAAGTCTGTCCATCCCAGTACTGATGGCTTCTTGCTGCCAAATACATCTAAATATTCCACAGTTGATTCGCTATTGTAGCAGTACTGTGGGATTTCTGCATGCCAAAGTACCTGTTTGTCTAAAAAGCAGTGCAACAAAAGCTTTCTTTTTGCCTTGTAAATTGACCTGAAGCATTTGGTTTTTACTCAGTTCATGCCTGAGGTTTTTGTTAAGACTGCAAAATACCTCTCCCTTGAATGTCATTTGGATTCATTAAAGGCTGCAAGAGCTGCTGAAGCCTCTGAGTGTTTCACACTAGGCATCTCCGAATTTTTCTTATATAGCTGCATACCATTCACTGCAGTGCAGTAAAGCTGCAGTTTCCAGAGCCCAATCCTGCCATTAAACATTCATTGGAAAGATTTACAGCCCCTTTGTGCCACAAGTATCTTTGTTTTAATTCGGTACCGAAGACTCAAGGTTAACAAAAAAGCCCTTGCTGCTCAAGTAGAACACTGCAATACTCTTTAAAGGAAAGCTATAGGAAGAGGACAGAAATTATTAATAGCATTCGCAGATTACGCTGCTTTGAGGGTTCTTTCCTTGATGTTTACAACTCTATTTCAGCAAAACATTGATGTCTTCATTTTGTTTCGTAAGCAGAATTAATTTAATTTTTTAACCTTCTCAAAGCAAAATTTATATCTGAGTCTCTTCTTCATTCCAGTCAAGTACTTATTATTGCCATTATAGCCCTCAGAGGGAAAAATCTTTCCAGTGTCTGCCTTTCTGTTCCAGTTCCTCCCTGAGTCCCCATCCCTGTGAAGGTCGCTAAAAACAAGAACTTCCTTTCTTTTGCAGCAGATAAGTGCTATCTGCCTGACAGTTCCTTCTTCAAGTAGCAGACATGTTGCCTCTGATTTTTCAGTATCTTAGTGAGCCGCCTTTTCTCTGAGACATGCTTTGTCTTAATAATTGCCCTACTTTTGGAATCAAAAATACAGTGCATTATTATTCTCACTGAGCTACTGAAAGAAAATAGTTTGAGGGAACACACTAATTAAAAATCTATTAAATATGAATAAGCCCCAGTTACCTTCTCTCTTACGCAAATAGTGCTATAATGCTGCTGCAAGATCAGGGTTTGAAGCCACTGCTTTGGGATACTGAATATTTCAGAAGTATGTTATCAACAAAAAGGAATGCTGGAGGTCAAACTTACCCAGTTTTGGCAAAGTTAGTCCAGTACGTCATAACTACTGCACTGAGCATGACATCATTCTTGGAAAAGTTGCAGTTGAACAGTTCTGTGGGGCCAATCATAGGAATCCCAAACACATAAGGGACTTCATCACCATGAGCTGAATCAGCCCAGCTGGGTTTCATTTCACTTTGGCAATGGTGATAAAATGCATAGAAATACGTTGGAGATCCATACTGAGCATGCAGGTCAGCAGTAGCAACAGCCGGAGCAACCCACTGGTGGTCTGTAAAAAGAGCAACCAGGGTCTTCCGTCTCGTTTCAGGGTTTTCTTTGTCTGCCCAGTCGGTGTACATGAATTTAATGGTCTCTCGCAGTGTATCTTTCCCTTCTGGATAACCATATAGATTGTCCACAAAATTAGAGACAGAAAAGTCAAAATCATTGGGGGAAACACCGTCTTCATTGTCTACAATGCCGTCCACAAATTTTAAACCTTCCCCTTGATTCACGCCCAGCATTATATCATAGTTAAGGAATTCCCCTTGCTCCATGAGAATCTGAGGGTCATCTGGAATCACGTCTCCATCTATCACAGGCCCAAAGGCAATGTGGTATGTAGCTGGAGTGATGGTCTGTTGAATGAGTTCTTTGTAATTCTTATTCCGAAGACATTCAACCAAATCAGTGGTATCCAGCATGTCGCAGCCCACTTTATCTGCCAATATCCGAGTGTACTTGGCAGGCTGGTAGTTCACTGCCCAGCTGGACAGGGCTGTTCCACTCTGTATGATTGCCTTTTGGAACAAACCTGCAGGTGCAAATTGTTTAAATGCAAATCCAATTATAAATGAAAAAAAAAAGAAAAATAATTAAAACCAGCTTTCACTAAGCAGAGAAAGCTTTGATAATACAATAACTAAAGGATGCATATACCTAAATTTCAATTAAAACTCTATATATTATACTCACTGCTCTCTTTTTACAGTATCTCTAAGAGACTACTAATTAAAATCTATCTTGTTCTTGATGCTCATACACATAAAGCATGAAGGTTTCAGGTTACTGTTTCAAGAACAAAACTCATGCGTGTACTGCAGTTTTCTTGCATCTTTAATGGAAGTCCCCTGGCTTTAGCACAGTGGTAGTCCTGTAAAAATTTCTTTAAAGGAGTGGCAGCTACAAGCAATCATATCCTCTTCACCATGTAAATGATGCTCATAAATGTGCTCTTCAGTAGTTTAAAGGTCAAATGAAAATTACACACTCTCATTTCCTTCACAGAAGCCATGCATCATATAATTTGAAAAAATCTGCTCTGCTAAAATCAATTTAATGGGCTTGAGTCTTCTACTCTGACATAATTTTTTCTTTCTTTACCATCTTAATTTGTGTGTGTGTGTGTGTGTGTGTGTGTGTGTTTGTGCGCTAGCACTGCCTATAAGTTGAATTAAAATATATTTACATTTTTGGGAAGAGAGTAAGATGAGATTCAATAGTTCTTTCTGGTTGTTTTATATGTACTAATATAAACAGAGATCAAAGACCCAGCCTGAAGCGCTGCTTTATGTCACCAGAGCACTGAAAAGCAATTGGGGTTACCAGTGAATCTGCCCCATCTGCTTTTTCCTAGTGAGATCACTAAAATGGACTATTTTATACTTAAACTGAAATGCCTGAGCCTCTTTGCACATGGTTTCTACTGTGAAGCTCTTGCAATGTCAAAGACAGCAACAGTTACAAAAACATTTAAAGACCTTGAAGCATTTATGGGAAAAACTGGCTGTGGTTGATATACCTTTGTGATGATTACTTACTGCATGTGCTACAAAATTTCAATGATGTGATTAGTTAAGTTTTTCATGGTTCCATCTGCTTGATTTTGGCATGGCTTACTCAACAGTTATTCACTGCACCCTATTTGTATCAATAGACTAAATTGTCAGGCATAATTCTATGTATTTCCAAATAGGATGTGTTTACCAGCAGCCTTGCTTGCTAGGGTTTCGCTTTCTGCCATAGTTTTCTGTCTGGTTTAAAGTGACAGAAGTAGCATGGACTTATAAATACAATAGATACCTCGGTCTTGTCTTCTTTTATAAATTCTTTTAGATTTGATCTTATCACCAGGAAAATTTATGGATCAGTACTGGTGCTGTACATCCTTGGGTTTTTTTTTTTTTTGGAGGGGTGAGGTGTTGAGGGTAGAAATCCCACAGCTCCTACCAAAATCGTAAGAATTCTGTGTGGGATCACACAGTACTTGTGGGGAGTTAAATACATTTTTTAATCAGGTTAAGTGATGCTATTATTAAGTAAGGAAAACATCTAAATACATGTTGGAAGTGCAGACAAGAGTGTGTAAAAAATGAAAAAGGTCACTGCCCTTTTCCATTTTAATTAGGGCAAATTCTTTGATAGAAGAGCCAGTGGAGACTGTTGATAAAGCTAGAAAAAGTATATTGCCCATGGCATTTGTTTCATGAAATTTCTGCTATAATAACATTTATTTTTTTATATAAAAAAAATTATGTTGACTAATACAAACCCAGAATACTAGTTAGTAGGTATTTTACAAAAATTATGGACCTCATGTAATTCAAATTCAGCCTACCTGATATGGCCATTTTTGTTACACTATAATGTTTAAAAGAAAAGGTGCATTTCTCAGAAGATTATTACCTTCTGAATAGTGAGAGAGTGTCAGGAGACTGACACAGGAAGCTCCTGCCCCAGATCCAAAAATAGTAACTCTTTTTGGGTCTCCTCCGAAAGATCCAATATTTTCTTCAATCCAACGTAAAGCTTGGATTTGGTCAAGCAATCCGTAATTGCCTTTTGCAGCTTGGTCCCCAGTACTTAAAAACCCTGTAAGGCAAAAAAAGATAATTTTAGTTCACCAGCTACAGAGTTAGCTACAGGGTATCCACATATTCAGAACACATCTTCCCATCTTTTAATCTTCTGGGCTTTTTTTTTTTTTCTTCTTTTTTTTAAAGGTCACGGTCCTAGTTAAATGTCTCCAGTGCAGGCAGTGGAACTCATTCTGTATGCTGTTTGGTTTTGCTTTGTTTTTCCCTACTGCAGAGGTCATATTTGTGAAAAATCATTATTTCCTTTTTTGAAATAATTCTATATCAATGCAACAATACAGACTGAAGATTTTAAACCTTCGATAACTCTATGTGAGTAAGGTAGAAAAATTTAAGAAATCATTTTTGTGTGAAGAAGTGAGATACCCAGTCTTCCACTGAGAAGAAGGCTCTCTAACACATTAATTTAAATACTCCTTACCATGGACCAAAATTGTCCTGAGCTACATAGATCTTTAAATTATTGTACTTGTGATATGGACAGACATACTCAGAAACAGAAAAAGAAGGATGAAGAAAATAGTAAAAGGAACAGGAAAAAGGCCTAGGAAATTCCACTCCAATTTCACAGAGGATATTTATTAGGAATACAGCAGGTAAATCCTCAGCAATTTAGTCTTTGGCTAGGAGATTTTGTCTGAATAAATCAGGTTTTGTCTCTTTCCTTGGAAATTGCAGGGAAAGCTGCACTGCTATTTTTTGTTCCTGTACTGTGGTTATCAGATTTTAGAAACAAAGCATGACACATTTGCTGCTCGTCTTGCAACTGAGAACAAAAATCACCAAAAGACTAGGAATGAGATAAATTTTGTTTTTCTGAAACCAGCTAAGGTGAAACATTGCAGTTATCCACGCTGCCTATGTTTCACAGTTAAAACCTTGTGCTGCGTCCAAATTACCACATCGAGCCACGTACTCACACTTTTTAACTCCCACAGACCTTTTCCTGTCAGGCAACTGGAAGTCCGAAGGCTATTAGAAATGCCTTACAGCATATGGAAGTTTTCAGATGGACATTACTGATTTAGGCACCGCTGACAGCTGCTCATCAAGACAAAACAAGGAAATCACTTGGCTGGTGTTTCCGAGCTAATTGTCAGTTCAGCCAAATTTGCCAGAAGAGGGCCCCGGCACTCAGGAGATCTGTAATTTGAGCAGTTTGAGATGAGACAGTCTGTAATCTTGAGCCACCTTAGCTTGCTGTGACAAGACCTTCATGCTCCTTGGAAGGCCTGCAAGGGAAGCCTGAAGTCCCTAGGGAAAAAAAGGCCTTGCAGTACATTTCACCTGCTTAGGCAAAGGGGAACAGATCACTTTGCACTGACTGTAGGTATTTTTTCAGTGATAGGAGGAATGAAAATTCACAAGCTGGAAAGGATTCACAATATGGAGGAAGCGGAAGAGAAGCGAAGGCAAGAGAAAAGAAGAAATTATATGTGTTGGACATTCACACCTGTATTTCCTTAATGTTTTCTATGGTAAAATTCCTATGAGATGCAAACTCCAGCCGCAAGGCTTAAAAGGAAGATCACAGAAGGACTAAATTATAAATATGGAATGCTATATGGCCTATGTTATGGTGGCATAAATTTCCGCATGCAAGGTTAGGCATGATTGAGTGGAATGTGTTACCTTGCACCCAAAAGAATATTTTTCATATATAATTAGTAATTTTTAATAGGTATTTAATGTCAGCAAGTGTCTGATGAGTCCCTGTATTTTTCACAAAACAGTTGCTTCAATTGCAGTAGTACAAACCATATCCTTATTGCTAAATAGCATTTGATACAGCTTTCCCATAAGAAAGTCTAATAATGGCAAGCATGGTAGTTAGAATAGCAGTAACATTATCTTTTTTCTCTTCTATACCAATGGGAAAAACCCAAACAAACTATTAATGCATAATTGCCTCAATTTTTTTAACAGATGTGTTTTTCTCTTTTTCACATGCCTTTATTATCTTTTTAGGACTGTCAAAGAAAGAATAACCCACTTGCTAGCTTTGTTGCTGCAGCTCACTGCAATGTTCTATAATATTCTATAATTAAGCCTTTATTCAATCGGAACTATGACCTCCCCGGGAGAAAGTGACTGTTGTAACCTTTAAAGCAGCATGGTAATTCATATTCAGAGCCTAAACACATTTTAGCTCTTCTAGCAGCATCAAACTAAAGCTGGTTGATCTTTGTGATTTTGAATTCTTTCCAAATGTACTAAAAGGTGAGTAAAACTGTAGCCAATGAATATCTGATGTTAGACAAATGAAGATTTTGTGTTTCCACAGTTCTTTGCTGATTCTCATTAATTACAAGAACAAATTTTCTTAATTTAAAAACTAATCATCATGGCAAACTGTCAGCCCAACATGACACAAACTGAATTCATAAATCTGTCTTTTCTTGATGAGGAAATATTTTCTTTCACGCTCTGAATACCAGATCAAAAATATTTGTTCAAAGCCATTTTCAAGAAATTCATGCAAGGAGTAACTATTTGTCCAGAAATACACAAAACCAGGAGATTTTTTTATTCTGTGACCACTGTGAAGATTTCAGAACAGCATCTTCATGTGTCACTCTAAAATCCTGAACAAACAAAAATGTAGCTTTTTTTCTGAGATGGGGATTTATACTCTGTGCCTTTCACATATACGTTTTTAAGTGCAGTTAAGAATATTTCCCATTTAATGGTCTGGCATGATTTGAAGGGCATTCTTTGATCTGAAAATCCCAGATAGAACTTGGAAGTTCTTCTCACTAGCCTAATGCAACAGAGAAATGAATGGCAATAGTCGAATATGGGAAACGAAGAGCTTTTTTTTTTTTTTCCCCCTCCACATAATGATACAGAAAGGCATTAACAGTAATACACAGTTCTTGACTTCACAAATCTGTCTTCCCTTAAATAATGATTTGCAAGGGTGACCACATGGCTCTCCCACTGAAAAATGCCATGGACAGCAACAGCTGAAAAAGAGGAATGTGAGTGCATCCCGTCTGTGTTAAGTAAAATCCCCCAAATTGTCTTAGGGGACATTTACTCCAAACTTATTGTGCCAGAGGGAAAGATGACCACCAGCTGGATTGAGTAGTAACCAGGGAACTAGAGTCTTCTGAAGCAAAGGTCAGCTTGAAAAGAAGGGCAAAAGCAGCACGGCAATTTGTAAAAGTAGACAGAGGGAGGTGGGAAGAAGGCAGCAGCTGGACATGGTTTGACACTGCGAGAAGTGTCCACCGACGTTGCACACTGCCTTCAACCTGGACAGAGCACCCTCCTGTGGGCTGCCTGCACCCAGCCAGGGGCTGTCCATGTGGGCTGGTACACAGAGACCCCCTTGGTGGGGGCAGGGGGGCGGCATGAGGTGTTTTTTTCCTGGTGTCCGTCAGTGGGTAGTTGGGAGTGGCAGGAGCTCACCGGGTGCGGGAGAAGCCATATGTCCCACATGGAGAACAGGGGAAGTTCCACTCCCCCGCGATGGGGCTGCTGGTGACCCATGCAGCCTGGGGTGGCTTGGTGCAAACCTAGCTCTGTGCATTTGTGTGTGTGATTAGAACTTTTGGGGATTAGTTATAGAAGGATGTTTAGAAATTTGCAACTGTTTACTAACCTTTCATAAGTGTCTAGTATTGTAGTTTATATTTTGTATTGCTGATACTGATCCTGAAGGTATAGCTCACTGACTGTTGGTTAGTTAGATGTCGTTAATATATTAATAGACTGAATTGATACTGATTTCATTTAAACCACATGAATTGAGCAGCTTTTCCATATGACAGTTTATTCTTTAAAAATAAATACAAATGCATAATTTTATAAGAGGAAACATAAAATATTCTTGATTTGTTTTGATGTATTACTTATAATTAATCTTGCAACTCATTTTTTCTACATTCTTTCATGTAGAGAAAAGTAATGCTTCTTTAAATTGAGGTTTCTGAAGTAACAGTTTTATTTATTTTTCTCTGATTCTATTAAGGGAAGCCTGAGTGCTTTAGTTTTAACCTACTAGATTAGCGACAGTCAGGAAGGAAGAAGACTACAAATGGAAATTACTGGGAATTTTCCTTTTCTACAGCCTTTAAAAATGAATGGACTCATAAGCTACATGTTGTTACTTGCACTGTTTTGATATTGCAGTGAAGACACAAAGCTACACACAAACCTCCTTTAGATCCAACTTACACAACAGGAATATCCCCAGTTCTATCTTTATAGTTGGTTTTCCCACTATGCCACAAAAACCTTACTGAGAGACTAAACAAACCCCAAGAAACCAGTAGTGGTATTTCCCCTTGGCTACTAAAAAGTTATTTGGGGACTCACAGTGACAAATTGGCCAGCCCAGTATCTATAAATTCCACCCAGACAGTTTACTTCTGCCCAGCTCCAGCCTTGTCTTGTGACTGGAGGCCATTCTTATGTTAGCACGCCGTGCGGACCTGCAAGAGGGAGTCTAGAACAGAATAGCTGGACCTCACATCCACACTGTACACTTAGCACATACTGTTGTTTACTACGGCCTAACTCTTGTCCGGTCCCATGGGCTGAATGAATGACCACTGGTGGACACTGTGCATAAGGGGAACCACATCTTCCAGCTGAAGTTCACCTGGAAGGGTCCAGGCTGTACTTTACAAAACCTCTCTGCAATGTGAAACAATGGGCATGGAGTTGGTGACAATACTGAGGTTTGCTGTGGAAAAGGTTTTCAAGGTTTTCACTCTTGATCTGAATTAAAACACTAGTGTGGACATGCTCAGGATCAAATTATATTCTTCCAACCATGGAATTTCAATTTGCAAGGAGCAGGCTCAGATGCAGCCACATTTCAGCTGTCGACCTTGTCCAGATATGTGAATAGCTAAGTAGGCTGCTTGAAAACTATAAAGCATTTCACTTATACTAAATATAATATTGAAATATAATCTATCCTAATACTTAGACAAAAGTGTTTTCAACTGAAAGTTATGTGCTGATTTATGGGCATTGAATAGA